ACCTTCTCCGTGCGAGAAGAGCCCTTTGGTCAGCAGTGGCCACTTATGTGTCGATATTGCTGTTGAAGGCTAAATTTATTTATTTATCTGACAGATAGCAGTGATCTATATTGTGGACAAATCATCAGCATATTAAACTAGATTTCAAATACAAGGAAACTATTTTAAACAATAAGGAGAGTGAACACAAAAAGATGGCAAACCTATTTAATTCAGAAATGTAATTTAAAACTTGGCAATATTTTTGAGGTACTTTGTTTATATCTGGCATTGGCACGGAATACAGCCTAGCTGGCAAATCTTGGCACGACCTCTTGGCAGAATCTTTATTTACACTGCATAGAATACGGGACCTAAATTCATCTGTATGAGATATACGTAGTAAATAATATGAATAAGTATCCACTGTATTTAATCCGAGCTCAGTCGCATTAAGGAAATGTTACAATTTGGTTTACTGATTTTGTGAAAATATGAAAACTATTGTTTAAACAGCACGTCTCTGAAGCTACAAATTGTACTATCGCTCTGAGAATTTGATTAATATTTTTATTTTCTCTAAACCGTAGGTACCAAATTCAAATCACAAATATGTTACATACAAAAGAAGGACATTTTCAATTCATTGCACTTTTTTATTATTATCACAAAAGTCTATTCACAAAATAACTACAAAATCTAATAACTACAAACTTCATTACAAAAAAAAAATAAACGAACCGACGCCAAGCGCCGGCTTTTCCGTTCGATCATCAGTTACTATCGCCAACAAAAGTGCTTCGCTAATAAAAAATAAGCCTATTACCGATCACAAATCGCGGCTTATATCGCATTATTGTACCGTCGAGTACAGCGATGTACAGTCAAGATGTTTATTGCAATTTATTTGCCTCGCCTCGGACAAATACTTGCCTAATCGATGTTACAGATTTACGATGCGATTTAAAATGGCCGCGTGGAAAATGTATGTGATGCTCTTTTCGTAGGACATAAGTCTCTGTGTGTTTTTTTAAACTCGTTACAAATGTGCTACTTGTTTCTTTGTTTTTTGTATTAAAGAAGAACTCAGTAGAGGTTACAAATAAATAGATATGTATAGTGCCTTCATACATTTTTGTCAAAGCTAACATTTAGTCATATTTCATAAAGACAAACGAATGGTATGCCATACAATGCGTCTATTGGATGACAATGACATTTTATAGCAATAACTGGAGTTGAACCATTCTCATAGTTTTGCTGACATTGTAATATTTATTGCACTGCGGATAATAATGTCAACTTTGTTATTTAATTATAAATATCAACACGTAATTAATGAAGTACTTTCATATTTTATTCATTGTGCGGTTTTATCAGTTACACAGTAAAATGACGCAATGGTTATGTACAAATATAACATTTTATATAACACGGAGACTGCCTCGTTGGCCGAGTGGTCGCAAGTGCGACTGCCGGGCAAGGGGTCTCGGGTTCGATTCCTGGGTCGGGCAAAGTATTACTGGGTTTAAAAAAATCTCAGTAGTAGCACGGAGTCTGGTATTGTGCCGGTATATGTCAATAGGTTCACCCCCTATTACATGGGACTCATAACATAAATAGTGAAAAGTGGGGTACATTGTATAGTGGCATAATGTGCACCTCTGCCTACCTCTTCGGGGATAAAAGGCGTGATGTTATGTTATATTATAACACTAAAACAGTTTTTTGTTTGGCTAATCTCTGTCGACCATACCACACAAATTCCGACTAGACGGGATCATATATTTTCAGCTTCATGTAAGTTAGGAAACGGCTGCAGGCCGGTTTAATTATCCACATTCCGGGTGGACAAATTGTTCGCTCACTACGTCCCGGATATTAATTTCGATACATTGTCCCTACCAGGGCAGTCAAGCGACAACGATTATTTCCAAACGAGAAGCTAGCTTCAAGTAACGGTACTGTCGGAAAAATCACAACATATTTCATGAATTTAGAGTAGAACAAGTTCGCACATAAAGAACAGTTTATTCTCTCTATTAGCGTCACAGATAATTTCGCATCGTAATCTGACAAACGTCGGAATCAGAGCTCACGGTGCAAAACTTGGCCAGCTAACGGCCCCACTGAGATATGTTTTAGATAAAGATTATTTATACAGTGTCTTATTTTACAAATCCAATTTCCGCGTGAATACACGGGTCGGTTGTAAATAACACAGACAAAGCTTTGCCGGAATCGCGCACCGTTCGATACATTATGCAGACCACGCTTCGTTGCGCCGAGCAATGAGCTCTGTAAATATACCAGGCACAACTGAATCGTCGCTTTTTTGTTTCTATTTTCTTTTTTTTTCTTTTCGATATTCTAATTTAGAATTTTCTCGCAACTTTACTGTTAAAAAGTCGTTGTCGACTTTTTTGTCTGTTTTTATTTTAAAATTCCATGGCATTTTAAAACGAGTTCGAATTGCGTTTTTATTAGGCACGAGAGGCCAATATTTACTTACGCAAATATTATAATTTTAATTGAAAAAGGACCTTAAAATATAACAATATAATGACCGGTCATATTACAGTTCATTCGGACCAAATCATGACTACAACACGAACCTTAAACATCAATTAGAATATCATCTATCACGAACTGATCCACGTTAAATCGTTCCTCCCAAAGAAAATACGTAAACAAATCTAATTCATTTATTTCTCCAACATCCGTTAGCGATATCGGCGTAACTGTTTTCTAAGTCATTAATTTCGAAAAAAAGAAAAAGTACAGAGTGATATCTTAACCTGTTTCCTCTAACATAAAGCACAGTGTTCAAAACGCGTTATCCGGGGGGCAAAAAGCAACAAAGTCGTGTAGCATCAGTGTAGTCACAATAACTACGGGAACACGCCCATGCACTCCTTATCATGACAGTCGAAAGGCACTTTTTCATTTTTCTTTTGTCCTCGCTACTCGTGTTTTTTGTTAGTGTGCACGGTTGTCTCTAAGGGCAGACGGCATAGTGGAAAAGTCATGTGATTTAGAGACGACAAAAATGTTATATTCGTTAGAGTGTGCCTGTGTGCGTTACTTGTGGCTTTGCGTGACATATTTTCTTAGTGTCGAGGATGACAAATGGCTAGATAAATCACAGAGAGCGAGCTTTTCTTTTAAAACTTTTATTTCTTCGGATATGTTACGAGTTTTTGTGTTTACGTCTGAACGCCTCATTTATTATGACAATCTGAGGTTCAAAGTTACGTGAGCAATATGTTCAGACGTTCTGACATTGCTTTTTGTTACGCTTTGTTCTTATAATTGTGGTGTGCTATTCTTTTTGTACGTAATCTGATTTAAAGAACTACATACAGTAAAGCAAAGGAATACTAAATATATTTCTAATAACTTTTGTAAGATAGTAGTGAGGTTCCGAGCTTGGTATTCGATTTTATGAAGTCTCACTAAGAATGCTTATAGAATGCTCAAATTTTGTGTACGTATATTTGAATGCTTCTTACGCATCCTCTACTTATTTTCATAAATCAATTATGTATATTCACCACGGAGGACAAAAAAAAATTAAACATTTTAAAAAATCATAGTGTTAACGAACTAGAGTTAAACCAGCATGGCTTCTAGTTATTGGACGTGTATTTGGTGTCAAGATTGGTTTAATGCATAAGTGGCGACAAATTGTCGATCGTCGCCTGCAGTAAGGGGTAACCTATTTGCTACAATTGACTGTTATTTGTGTGAGAATAAATATTTTTCTTTAAGTCTTCATGTCCATTGTTATTAGAACTGTCGATCTGAGTTCATTTATATATAGACCTAGCTGTTCCCCAACGTTTCCTAATAAGCGTAAGCAATGTGTGGATCGTTTTGGTAGATTTTTTCATACATTGGGTTACATTATTGAAATTTTCAAACGGTTCCCTTTTTTTTGTTTTTTTTTAAATATAGACTATGCTCCTCAAAAAGTCTTTTACCATTTGTATCGTACATTCCGATGATGTTTATTCAGAGTTTAGTCCATCAGTTGCGGAGCTTAATATTAGTGTAGATGTAAATTATTTGAATTTTAAATTGATTTAAGGAGTCTGATTCGAGTCAGGTGTAAAGCTTGTTTTACCTGTTATTCTAAAACTGATACAATGGGGTATCTTCTGCATATTGTTACATGTTTAATAAAAAGTATTTACTTTATTATTGTGTTGAATTTTACTATACTATAAACACTCGTGCAGAGGAATCATGATAAAAGGGTGCCAACCCACCTAGGGTTGGCAAAAACGCTAATTTCCGCCGGCGCCGCTCCCAAAGTACTTTAGACTGAATTTGGTCTTTCACCTCTTCATAACAATACTGAATGTCTCCCACAAGATAGATAAAGGACTGACTATAGATAAACAACGCCATATACCTATCATTTCAAGCAAAATTGACCTTTAAATTAATTTAAATTATTATCAATCCGTCATTGCAGTATCGTTTGCAGTCGGAACTAGGATGATGAAGAAGTTTGATTATACGGATCAAATAAAACCTATTTCTGAAAATGCCATACAGGAATTATATGAAAGGAAAAAGTTTGACAGACATCAAGAATAATAATAATGTCTAATATTGTCTTGAGGATAATATTATAGAGTACCGATTAATATTTAACAATGTATAGGAAAGCTTATCAACGTGGTGTATTTTCTATATTTTATAGCGTTGGCTCCAAACCTTTAGCAATTTGGGATACTGTCACTCGAGACGGGTACATAACAAAATTTTTGGACGAAGATATAAAGTCTACTGTTTTAGAGATAGGAGGAACGAATATAAGTACGACGTACATAATATGTCCTAAAGGGAACGAAGTACTTGGAATATGCATGCCGTTCTTAGTAATGATCGTTAAGAATTTGAAGAAATATTTCTCTTTTGAAGTGACTATATTAGATGAAACTGCAACAAGAAGAAGATTTCGCGTTTCTAACTTCCAGAGTCAGACTCAAATATTACCGTTGTGCACTGTGATGCCTATAGGCCTTAGCGAGGGCTGGAACCAGATCCAATTCAACCTTGCAGAGTTCACAAGACGTGCTTATAAGAAACAGTTCATAGAAGTACAAAAGGTGAAAATCAATGCTAACATACGATTAAGACGAATATATTTTGCGGAGCGACTCATTCCAGAGGACCAACTACCTGCAGAATATAAACTATTTTTCCCTTTGAAAACTAAACCAGGAGGTTTTCAACAAAAAGAAATAGGAAAAAGAAAAGACGGAGAGGACGAAAAGGTAGAGAATGTTGTTGTTGATACTGCAGGTGCAGGTGCAGAACAAAATGTTGAAATAGCTAATGTAGCTGAAATAGGAGAAGACGTGCCAGACTTGTCAAAGAAATCGGCGACGTATTCCAAAGTAAGGGGTTCGATGCAAGTTATCAAAACAGCCTCACAAGCACCAGCATATGAAGATAGAAGTTCTCAAATGTTCCAAGTACACGAAGATAAACTTGTTCGGGTTAACGCTTCAACAGTAGTGCCTGGACTGTCTGAACAGTTAGCGGAGGTTGAAAAAGAGGAGTCAGAACATAACTTAGTATTAACTGCTATAACTACTGAAGCCGCAGTTGCCGTACCTAGTGAAGCCGTAGCTGCCGTATCTACTGAAGCAGCAGCTGCCGTATCTACTGAAGCAGCGGCTGCCGTATCTACTGTAGCAGCAACTGCTGTACGTAGTCAAGCAACAACTCCCGTACCTAGTCAAACAACAGCTGCGGTACCTAGTGAAGCCGCAGCTCCTGTACCTAGTCAAGCATCAACTACCGTACCTACTCAAGTAGGATCTGCCGTATCTACTCAAGCAGCAAAAGAAGATGATACTACTATTATGGAAACACCTTTGCCTGAAGAAGCTGAGGGTCAAGCAATCGTTGTACAAAACGTTGGTGAACAAAGTGGAGTCACTGTTCTTACTGAGATCACTGAGGTCACTGAGATCAATGAACCAGAACAAATTCCTACTGAAGGACAAGTGAATTAGGTATTAGTTGTTTGTATGTTTTATTATTATTTCATAATTATTATACATTGAATAGTATAGTAATTTAATGAAAAAATAGTAAAAATAATATGCCACGTAAAATATGTGTAAAATTATATTAATTTATTTTGTTACATTTACAGTTGTGTAAAGATATAAGGATCATTATTACATTTATTGTTTATTGTTGGAATGTATTTCAGTTATAATTTGTTTTGTGTTTTAAAATAAAGTTAATTAAATTTTAATTGATTGTTTGAAGTAATTCACCAGTTAAGAACTCTACTACATATTATAAAATCAGTACATAGTTTCATTTTTTTTTCAGTTTCTTAGTTGCATAGAGACATCAAATTGCTATAAAAACTTTGTGCAATGAACCTCGTTTAGTAAACTAGTAATGAATTATTTCATAGATAATTAATGTCAAACAAACAAACGTCAACAATAATCATACAAACGAACGTTGTTAACAATTTTATTGCTGTGTTTAGCTAATTAACAAACGATGTTCAAAAACTCGTACCAAAATGGATTGCTGTCCATATTTTACAGTTGTGGAGCCAACCCTCTGGCAATATGGGATATGGAAGTAAAAAACGGACATATAAAACGACTCACTGACAATGAAGTGAATTCTATAGTTCTGGAAATTGTGAGTACGAACGTTGCAACAACGTACATAACATGTCCAAAGAACAACCAAGTATTAGGGATCAAACTTCCCTTCCTTGTCATGATTGTGAAGAACTTGAAACGTTATTTCTCGTTCGAAATAACCATACTGGATGACAAAAATATGAGACGGCGTTTCAGGATTTCTAATTTTCAATCAACAACAAAAATTAAACCTTTTTGTACGAGCATGCCTATCGGGTTAGCAGGTGGTTGGAACCAGATACAATTTAATCTTGCTGATTTTACAAGGAGGGCTTACGGAACGCAGTTCCTAGAAACTCTACGAGTACAAGTACATGCTAATGCCAGATTAAGACGTATTTATTTTAGTGAAAAGCTTTATACTGAAGAAGAGTTGCCACAAGATTATAAACTTTATTTGCCATTAGAACGAAAACAGAAAAAAGGAAAGGTTAAAGAAAAACCAAAAGAAGAAGAAGTAGTAGTAATAGGTCCTCCAGCCGAGGGAGTGGTGCCACCTGCAGGGGCGCCAATAGAAGCAAAGCAATCGCAATTATCAAAGAAGAGTGAAGTCATTCCGGTTCCATCGAGCACTGCACCAGCAGAAAAGGTGGAAGAAGGCGCGGAAACTGCGGCAGTTCCAGAAACGGAAGCCCCAGCGGAGGCGGCACCACCACCAGAAGGGGTAAAATCGGCTACAGAGGTAGCGCAACCAGAAGAAGGCGCCGAACCAGCGGCTGAGGAAGCTGCTGAGCCAGCCGCTGAGCCAGCCGCTGAGCCAGCTGCTGAGCCAGCTGCTGAGCCAGCTACTGAGGAAGCTGCTGAACCAGCTGCTGAGCCAGCTGCTGAAGCTGTAGAAGAGGCACCTCAAGAGGCAGAAGGTACTGTAGAACCCGCGGCTGAAGAACCTGTGGAAACTGCTGGAGTGGAAGCCCCAGAAGCCGCAGAAGCCCCAGAAGCTCCAGAAGCAGAAGTAGTAGAGGCATAAATACGTTGTAATTAGATTTTTGATTGGTTTACGTTATTATATTATGTTTAGTTCAGATTTATTTGTAGATGTCGTTCTTGTTTTGGTTATTAGTAATGTTTATTTGTCTTGAATACTAATAATGAAATGTAGATTATGTGAGATAGATTAAATGGTTGATCTTTTATGCTGATGTGAATTTTGTTATTGTAAATTCAATTTTTTTGTTGTTAGTAATGTAGATGACGAATATAGGTCACATTTACAGTACACTTGGAAAATTTATAGAAGAACATAACATAACATCATAACATCACGTCTTTTCTCCCCGAAGGGGCAGGTGCACATAATGACACTTGCGACTGTACAATGTAACACTTTTCACTATTTATGTTATGAATCCCATGTAATATGGAGTATTGCCATATTCCGGACACCATTCCAGTCTCCGTGCTAGTACTGAGATTTTTTTTTTAAACCAAACAATACTTTGCCTAACCCGGGCATCGAACCCGAGACTCTTTGCCCCGCAGCCGCACTTGCGACCACTCGGCCAACGAGGCAGTCAGAGAAAGTTATACTAGAACTTCCATTAAAAATATATATTATTTAGATTATAAATGAGTACAGTTCAGCAAACAAGTATACTAACACCAATAGCGAAAAGAAAATAATGTGTACCAAAGTAACTTATAGTCTTAAGTTAGTGTTCTTGGCAAACGTTGTTTAACATAACACGTTATGCTTCAAGTAAAACGACAAAAACACTTTATTTACCAAAGTGAAGTGGCTTCGTACTGTTCAATATGCAAAAGCGGCTCGTAAAATCCTAGTATACTCGGTAGTTGGCGTCTCTTTAATAGTTTATGTTCTGGTCTATGGTGCGAAATTCCGCCCATTATTTAGGGGCTGCCCCCGTCATAGTGCCGGTACATACATCCGGGAATTTATGGATAACTGCTTATAATAACGGTTTAGAGTTTAGGAAAATTGGTTGTTACATGTCTTTTAAGTGTATTTGTTGAGAAATATTAGAGAACAGAAGAGAGAAATAAACCCTGTATATTTCAGTATAAAAAACTACACATATTAGTATATCTGAAAAGCGTTGTGAAAAAAACATTTTATTTATATTTACACAATCTTATACATATGTATACAAAAGCGGCTTACCCTTTAAATGTATTACCCCGTAGTGGGTACGGTAAATGTGTGAAAAAATTACCTGTAAAAGAAAAAACGAGGATTATTAGTTTATTAATATATACATATACATAACTTCACGCCTATCTCCCATAAGGGTAGGCAGAGACTATGGAACGTCAATTACTACGATTCCTACATAACTCTCGCTACATCGACAGTCATCAATCTTTTCATGCATGCTCGTCGGTTAAGGTTATTAATTTAAAACATATTCTGCACAATATATGTACATATACCTCATATATTATTTACTTTTTTTCCCCATATTTTGCTTGAGGTCTCCGTATGGTAAAAATTAAAACTGAATCAACTAGATGGCGTTGTACTCAATATATCAATATATAATATTGAGTTTTGGGAAAAGTAATGTATGATTGAAAAAATATGCATAGTTAATTTCAATAACGTTTTTGGTAACAATGAATAATCAAATTAGTGCTTAAATCAATTTGTTTTTCAACAAAATGCAACTAAAAATAGAAAAAATACAGTAAAATTTTTCTATTTACCATCAACGTAACGACTTTTTGGACCACAGAAACTATGATGAAAGGATTCGTCTAAAGAGTCCCTTTCATCATCGGCGCTGTGCACACAAATTGAAATGGAGAACATGTGTGTTGACCTTTATCTTTTCTTTTTTTTATTTGAGCCTCTAAAATGCGTACCTTCGCCCCTTTCTGAGTAATAAGGATTTTCTCATCTTTATTATTTCCTGGTTTTTTCTTCATTACATTTTTTGGATACCACGAATATGTACGTCGAGGATTTTTTTTACTAAGCAGAAAGAACGAAATTTGATGATTATTAAAATCAGAATTATGGTATTGTGTCTCAGATTTTTTGCGAGAAATTAATTATTACGATTCACTTTTTCATTTATGTTTTTTTTTTATGGGATAAGCCAGAAGAAGACAGAGAGATCACCTGATGGTAAGCAATCGGCGCCTATGGTATGGACATCCGGAACACCAGAGGCGTTAATAGTGCGTTACCAGCTTTTTGGGTATTGAGAATTTGAGGATTTTTGGGGATTCGAGAAATTGGGGAGGAGGGTAATAGGGCCTCCGGTAACCTCACCCACACGACGAAACACAACGCAAGCGTTGTTCCAAAGAACTAAATGCCCAAGTTTATGTAAACATGTTACTTATATGGGTTACGATATAATAATGTCTCCTATACACAGATATGTAGATATATCTACAACATATACAAAATACAAGATCCTGTACATATTCGTTGAACACAAACGCTGGTAATAAGTTAGCGTGTTGTAGCGGGCTATAAATCACGTAGCGATGTTACTGGCTGATGTGGTGTAACGTATAGGCGGATAGCGGGGTAAGGGTTCAGTTGTAGAATATAAGCATGAGCTGTAAAATTGAATGCTTTCAATTAACTAAAAATCGCGGGTTACTCACGTGAACATACTGAGAAAAGCTCTACTAGTTTCGAACTACAGAGATGTTGTTCTTCATGAAGCGTGCGCGGTCGTGACGATGTCGTGCAGCCTACTAGAATATATTCAATTTTGTAGGTTGAACGATGTTGATGTATTATTATTAATTACTAGCGGACCCAACAGATGTTGTCCTGCATATCCACTTGAATGTATAAACAAAAATACGACTGCAGCGCCATCTGCCGGGCTGATTTGTGAATCTAAACCATTCTCAGATCCCCTTGAACACACACAAAAAATTTCATCAAAATCGGTTCAGTCGTTTGAGAGAAGTTTAGTGACATACACACTCACAGAAGAATTAAAGATTTAATAATGTTACGACTATGGTTAGGCTAGTTATGTATGTCGCTAACGGACAACTCAAAAAACCGAAATGATTTCAAACTAACTTTAATGAAAGTAAAATTACAAAAAAAAAAAAAATAAAAAAACGTAAATATTACGTAAAATTCGTTATACAACTAAAAATTCCTATTCTGATCAATATCAGATGCAGAATATTATTGATATTACTTTGAGATTTGAGATGTCAATAATTAATTTATAAGCTTAGTAATAGGTTAACATTTTTTATTTAAATAATTGTTAACAAAAGATATGCCTATATCGTCCTTTAACTTCTTACACTATTTATTATTTGTGTTTATTTAGTCCTTAATGACCATGTGAGTCTTTTAAAACAAGAATATATCTCAAAATGGCGTGGTAATTATATTTTTACTCACATTTCATTTGTAATAGAAGTATCATATAGGTAATTATGGCCATAATATGCCTTTCTGAATAGACACCGAAGTTATAATGAAGTAATTATGGAATTAGACCCGGTGTTCAGTAGTTTTGTTTTATAATTACTCTTACACAAAGGAGCTATTTAACATATAATAATACTCATATTTTATTATTATAGTCTTTCTACTGAATATTATTTGGGATTAGTGATGTAAGCAGCTATTTTCATAGTTAAACTGTTAACTAGAGAAATGATGACTTAAAAACAGTAATCTATGGATTTTCTTGCTCGTTCTTCTCCATATTAATCTATGATAGGATGAATGAGCAAATAGCTTCACTTTTAATTTTTTGTTGACGTTCAAAAGTTCCTGGCTGGTCTAATTGAAATAAATGATTTTGACGTTGACTTTGACTTGGAATTATTTAAATGTTAATGTAACTAGTTAATTTTCCTTATATTTGTTTACATGGGTACGTCATACCAATATGTAAAAAAACTATAATTATTTGAGTTATGCATATTTTTTAATCGCCATTGAACTCGCTACCCGCTCCGCTTATGCCTTGTCCAGTGCGCAAGCGAGCTGAAGCTAAGCGAACAGTCCGCTGCGTCGGGTTCGCGTTATATTAAAGCCTTAATTTACTGCTGCATTATTAAGCAACAGCAAAAATTGGTCATAAATAAGAATTTACAAACTATATGTACTGTAAATATGATGATTAGCCTGCTGCTACAATTTTTTTACAGTGAGGAAATTCACCATGATTTACTGTGTATATAAAATTTGCTGTATATAAATGCGGCCATATTTTTTCTGGGGTAATACTGCGAGTTTTCCTGTAGTATATTGGGAGTGAAGTATATAGGCTTTCCTTTTAGTGTTAATTATTAAAAATACAACGTAGTTCATAATTCAAAAAGTTTAAATTAAAAAAAAAAACAAAAATGTACCTGGCATACCCAAACACTTTCCACGAAATTCATTTCACATAAAACGTTGTAATCGAAAATCGTGCAGTACACGAGCGAAATTATCCAGTGTGGCCACAAAACCAACGTAAAACAATTTGGTATTACGTGTTCTGGCCAGGCCAGTCAGCTCACGACGACTAATTTTTGAAGCCGTAAAATTTACGACAAAGGGAGCATAATCTATCTGAAGTACGGTCCGAAGAAACGTGCAGAGCTTCCGAAATTTATTTACGGTCAGCAAAATAAGACGTTCGATTGAGGAAAGTCAAGTGTCCCATTTTTGTCTGTCGATGTTTAGTAGTCGTTTTGTTGCTTTCGACAAATATGTCGCGCGGAGTGATGCATGATAAACGCGCTTTTGTTTTGGGGTTCTTGTGTATGTGATGTTTCTGTATAAAGTTTATATTTGTGAGTAATATATTAACCGAGAACACTGTTGCTATAAATCGTTTTTGACTGCGATAGATATTATTATGACGTTAACTATTAGTCCTCTAGAAATTAATGGCTACTAAACAACTTAAATTTCGTAAAACAACAGATATAACCAACTACTTGTTTAAAACAGTTTAATTTTTACTAAACCAAAACCAACTCCAAACTTCCCTATACCAGTAACATCTAGTTATAACTGGTTTG